GTTAGGCCAGAAACATTTAAGTTCAGCTCACTTGCTCTTTCAGAGCAACATTCTCTTTATTGGTCTTCTCCAAGGCTTCAGCTGCTAGCCTCTGATAGGTATCAGATGTCTCTACTCACTTCGTAAGAAAAGCCACTTCACTCTAAGATAAGTGAACCCCTTCTTCAAATTGTCAATTCTTCCAAGGCAGAAGTGAGCTTCATGGACTCTTCAATGCTCTTCTTCTTCAGAGCCTCAGCCTCTACTTTGGCTTTGTTGGCAACATCCTCAGCCTGAGAGACTTTATTAACAAATTTATGATTTTTACTTTGAAGGTTTTAAAAGAGGACTTTAGCCCTCAGGCGACACCAAAGGTCATCCCTAACTGGCTCACCATCGTGGAAAACAAGTCCACGATGTCGTTGGTTTCTACAAAGTTTTACCACCTTTACGTCCAGTACTTGTGAAAAGTGGCTATTGTAGTTTGGACCTTTGATGAAGTAGGGCAAGAGATTCAGAAGCCAGTTCGTCGCTCCTCTTCTTCACGGCGAGCCTGGTTCGTTGAGGAGCCTCGGAAGAGGTGGAGTCGCTAGACCTCACTTTCTTGGAAGACTCTTGCCTCTGGGGCTCCACGGCAGCTGACCTTTTTTGCTCCCTAGAGGCCGCAGCTATGGATTTCGGAGCGAGAAGGAGGGACATCATTTAAATCACCCACCCTAGTGGTGGAGAATAGGTGTTTTCTCTTGGGGACCTCCTCAACGATTTTTTTCCCTTATCCTTTAGGGTAGGTCACCCCTCATCTTGACTGCCAACCTCCCAGCTGACCTTCTCTATTTGGTCCCTCATCTGCTTTAGCCCAGAAAATGAGGGCTTTAGACCCTTTCGTCCGGAGGTGGAGGTAGCAGCGACTATAGTGGCCATGTCGTGAGTGGGGTACCTCCATTTCTCAAAAATTTCTGCAAAGTAAAACAACAAGGTCAAACGTAGTTAAGCACATATAGAATAAAGTTTGATAAGGAGAAAGCAGTACATATCTTGGCCATCAAGCAAAATTCTTCAAAAAATCTCCTGGAGGCGATCAAACAATCAAAGTCATGAGAGGAAGAAGGTCGGTGATAGATGTCAGTCAAGGTCTCCCAATCACTCTCGTTCAACTCGAAGTGCTCAACTGACCCTACAAAACAATAGAAAAATGTTAACATCAGATTTATCTACACAGAAATCAAAAAGCAGATATAACACTTACGGGCTTCGGAGTAAGAGGTTGGAACTTTCACGCAAGGGACAGTATCACCCTCACATTCCTGCCATTTCCCCCTTATCCAAAATCACGTCTCCTTCCATCCTTTAATGGAGGAGGAAAGGTCCAGGACAAAGGGAAAATGTGACCCCCAAGGACATGGAGAGTACTACCTTTTTGAATCCTCTTTATCCAGGACCCGATGTTGGAAGATGGTTTGAAAAATGTGGAAGGTATGTTCTCTCCGAGGAAAGTTTCCTTCCAGATGAAGTAGGTTCCCACTAGTTGGGCCCAAGCGTTAGGGACGAGCTGGGTGGGGACTAGTCCGTACAACCTAAGTACGACTCTACAAAAATGATGCAAAGGTAGACGAAGCCCAGCCTTTAGAAGGAACTCGTTGATGGCAACGCATCCCTGCCTCGAAAAGCAGGCTCGCTCATCAAGAGTGGGGGAGAGGAGTTCTATGTTATATGGGATCCGATATTTTTCCCTAAAGTTGGCTAGGTGGGTCGGATTTACAGAAGATAGGATTTTGGTTGCCCTCAAGCTACCACATTATCTTTCCTACCTCTCTCCCCTAGAAGACAGACACTTTTTCTAGCTTGAATGGCTTGGATTGGGTCTGCCGTGTTAGTAATCTCAACTCTATTTTCTGCTACTACCTCACTAATGTCAACATTCCCCCTAGTAGAGTTTGGAGATGCAACTTATTTAGATTTTAAGGTTAAAGTTTAGGATACTTACAAGTTGAGTGAATTGCCCAAATAGTCACTGAACTTTACGCTATGCTTCCAAAGGGTCGCTGAACTTTAAAAATCACTCAAGTCATCACTGAACTTTGTAAAAGGTTTTCACGTGGTCGCTGAACTTTAAAAATCACCTCATTCATTACTAAACTTTGTAAAAGGTTTCTATGAGATCACTAAACTATGCAAAATATTTCCTATGAGATTACTGAATTAGTGACCCCTGGGAAATATTTTACAAAGTTTAGTGATGAATGAGTTGATTTTTAAAGTTCAGTGACCTCGTGAAAATCTTTTGCAAAGTTCAGTTATAAATTGGGTGATTTTGAAAGTTCAGTAACCTCTTGGAAGTATGGCGTAAAGTTCAGTGACTATTTGGGCAACTCACTCCTTACAAGTTGGATTAAAGAATGGTGAAATATAGCCGAAAAGTGAAAAGTGCAGAAGAGAAGAGAAGGAAAACTTAGAGATTTCAAGAAATTCGAATGAAGAATGTGTTAAAAGCAAAAGTGATTTTTTGCCATAAATCTTCCCATTTGATAGATAGAAGCTCTCAAATCCCAACCGTTGGATGTCGATCCGGATCATCCAACCGTTCATTTGGAGTTTCAATCTAGACCACTCAATGCATCAGCCACTTCGTCTTATATGGTCCAAATCAAAGCATTTGCCTCACGCGGTCTCATGCGCCTGAAGTTCGCAAGACATGTGCAAAATAGCAATAATTGCACATTAAATGCGGTGACGGTTGCGTGCGTAGGAAGTTGAACTGGTTCAGCTATTTTTTCTTGGAAGTGTTAAAAGACGGCAAATCATTTGGGAGCAATAATTCAGGACATCTCATGTCCCCCCAAACATTTTAAAATTAAGTCTCCTTGTAATTAGCAAGCTGAATACTTAGCAAAGGTCAGAGTCACTTCTCATCAACCAGCTCGGATAAGGCTTCGGGTGTGCAAAAGTGTCTAACAATACAACTTCGGACTTAATTCGCTTCGCTGACACTCTTCAGGATTACTACAAAGAGAGAAGTATCTTTAAGTATACAACTTTGGACAACACCAGCAGGCAGTTCACACAAGTCAGGCACATTTAAACTCTAAGTATAAATACTATGATATGGTAAAAAATCATACCCCAACAAAATATTTTACTCACAAGTCCATGCATTACATAAATAATCATGCCTAGACTTGAGGGACTATTGTTATGCCTCACCTCCGAAACTCAAGTCAAAGTGCCATGTAGCAAACCACGTAGGCAGAAAAGTCAACAAAGATCCAACGGTCAAAAGTAAAGAAATCATATGAATGGCCGAAACTCTAAAGCTGAAGCGCTATCTAAACGGCCGATGTACATATCCAAAGTGTTGTATAAAAGATGGAAGAAGTCGAAGCTTTTCACGAGAAGAACCTTCCTCTGAGGCCCCTAATCTACTTGAAGTTCGTGAAGCTAAAATTGTCTCTTACAAGATCCTTATGCAATCTTTAGAAATGATTGATGTAACGGTTGTAATAAAGTATGTCAGATGTGTCACCCTATTGTATAGGGCAGTTGATCTATTGTCAATGTATTTATTGTATGATAAACAGTGATGTGAAGTTTTAGTCAAGGAGATGAGGCCACGTGGTTCTGATCCAACGAACGCCACGTCAGCCAAAGCACTATAAATAGAACCTCTTTGTAACTGAAAGATGATTGAATTCTAAGATTTTAAACTCTGAAACTCTTGATAAAAAATGATCTTGCAAAATTCTATACATATCATCTAGTTTTTCTCCATACACATTATTTGATCTTGTTATGGGTTACAGTGATATTCAATCGATGATTGTTGTTAGCGCAATCATCTTCATTTCATCCGCCTGTGCTTAAACACTTTTTGTCTCACGCTATAAAGCATGTCCCGCATTCACATTCATCCCGCTTCTCACCAATATTCCTATCAAAACACGCCAGAATTTGCTTGAGTTGGCGTGAGTGGGCCCGATATCTGTTGTCCACGTAAGCGTCACATTTTTCGGGGTCAACAATACCTATTGCTTGAGTGTCTCCAGTTAAAAGCTTATATTTTATACGAGATTTGAAACTAATTTACCTTTTGTTTTTACTCTCTCCCTTTTAAGTATTTGTTCTTTCTACTTAGGCAAGAAAAAAAAAGTCTTCGTACATACTAACAATGTAACAGTTATCATTTTCATATTTGAAATTAGTTTTCAATTGACTGAAAATTCATTTTTAGTTGAGTCGATTATATTATGGAAGAAACCTAGAATTATTTAATTTTTTCTCATTTTACCATCAAGGTTCAACATAGTTTGAGAATGATTTTTTGGGTTTAAATATATTTGAAAAACTGTGAAAATCATTCATCTCTAGAGATGATGTTTGAAGATCATTTATGAAAGATGAAGGTTTTTTTTTTTTTATTTTTGTTTTCCTCATAACTAAAAGTTTGAGATGAAGCTAAAAATTTGACGACTTGTTAAATTAATTGGCATCTCGTCGAATCTGTTATGTTGTTTGACGAGGTCCAAATGGATTGTTTCGATTGTTTTTAAATCAAAACGGTGACCTAATTATTGTAAATTGAAGCTTAAGGACCTAATTACAGTTAGGGTGAAAGTTATGAGACTGTCGATACAATTAACTAAAACTGCGGCGTACGCATACATTAGTTCTTTTACGCTATCTGACATCGCACAAATAGAATGGTGTAATTACTGTTAAATTGAAGTTAAGTGGGACGATTTCGAAGCTTAGTGACCGGAGCAAAAGTTTGCTGATCACCATTCACCTGTCTAATGAACACCAGAAAATACCAAACCATTTTAACTCCCAAGTGCGCACTCTAGTAGATCTAGCTATGTTCGGCTAAAGTGAGCTAGGATCTGCTTAAGTTATCTTTTCTCTAGAAATATCATTCCTGGGAAGTCGCCAGGACCAGTCATCCAAGGCCTAAGGCCACGCTTCATATTCCATAGACGTGACTCGACACTCGAGAGAAACCGACTCCCTGCCATACAGAGAGCACAGATATGGGAAGCACAAGTGCCTTAATCTACACACCGAATTTCTACAATAACACCCACTACTGCTTCAAATGCTTAAGCCCAATTCCAGTTCAAGTTCCCCTATTTTCTTTGCACGTCAATTGCAGGAAATCCAAGTTTTTGAGCTTGTCAAACAGAAGAAGTTTCAAGAAATTTAGCACCATTGTTTTCTCGGCCACGGAGAAGCAGCAAGAATTGAGTAGCGGCGGTTTAAATGGTGCTGGCCCAGCTATTGAAGATAGGCATGGTAAATGTACTCCGATGGGATTTTGTATTTACTTCCGATTAAATTTTATGGGTTTTTATTCTTTGGGTTTTTCTATGGATAATCTATTTGAGAGAGTTTTTGTTGGGTTTCTTGAAATCAATTGGTTTCACTTGCTGATACTTAGTGTATTCATGCGTTGCTTGCGTTTCTCATTAATTGGTTTGATATTATTTGTTGTTCCTGTAATAACTAGAGCATATACTAAATAGACTTGGTAGACACCAACTTTTATTGTTCCTTAAGACATACTTTGCTGACGGTATTGGGAGTTATCTTTTAGGATTTTCGTTCCAAAGGGAAGCAGCGTGACAATTACAATGGAATATGTATACAATCGAATACAATGATGGTTAATTGAACTGAACTTCTTGAAATAAAGAAAAGAATATTGTGACAGAATTTTGGATATATTTGATCTAGTTCCAAGGGAGTAGAATATTGATTTTATTATTATTTTTTAGGGATTAAAAATGGTCACTAGCCTTTATATAGCTAATAAGCAGCAATTCGCCCGTCAACGATTGCCTTTACACAGCGTTGCAAATTTTGAATAGGAAGGGTGTGAAAATTAGATGAAAGGTTATGATAAGGATAATAAAAATGCAACTTCTTTCTCAGAATAGAATCTTCTATGTTTCTTGTATTTGTTATCATGAAAGGTATTCTGCTGATACATTATGTTACTTATGATCTATTAGTAGTATTCCTTGGTTTTTAATGGCGAAAGATAAAGATCCTTTTATTGTTATGGTCAGTAATAATAACATCAGAGACCACCACCGGTGTTGTGGTGTGGCATGATTGGATTTTCTTACAATTACATATTACCATATTTATTGGAACTCTTGAAAGGGATGTTAAATGATTCGTGGGAACTTAAACAATGTCTTTTATGTACGATTTCGTTGCATAAATTCCTAAATATCAACTAGGTTCACTGTTTGTGTGCGAGTTGTAAGAATGATGTATAGGGTTTAGTTGCCTCATTACGCTAGCCTCCCACTTCAAAAGCCAAGAAATTTAGAATTTCATTCAGCATATTATTGCTGTGTCCATGGGTACAATACTTCCATCAGCTGTTTTGAATTTAATTTTGTGGAAATTTGAGTGTCGAAATTTACATGCTTAAATATTCTGCAGCTTTTATTTGTAGACCCATATTGATGGATCGGCATAAAGAATTTTTTAGGAGCTTGAAGGGAGCCATGCATTTGTCCAGTGTCACCTCTGCATCAAATAACAAAATAAAAAAATAGAGAAGAAACATAGGGCTTTTGTGTTATATTTGTGTCCAATTTGTATGTGCTGATTTCCATCTATCAAATGATGTGGAGGTGGTAGCAAGTTTATCGGGTCCCGATATTTACATCCATGCTGCATTGTGGAACACTTACCATTTCTTCTTTTTTGTTGTTGGATCTTTTGAATTGTTAGTTGCTATTTTATTTTGGTTAAAAGTATTATACTAAGTAATCAAGATTCTAAAATACATGTGTATTATGGCATCCTAGATTCTAGTGGTGCAGGAGAAAATATATTTCAAAATGATCGGCCAGATAATGGAGGAAATGCTATTTATGATTTCCTGTATCCTAGCCAAGAGCTCCTTCCAGACGATAAAGAAATGACTATATTTGATCATTTAGAGGAGTTGCGGCAAAGAATCTTTGTCTCAGTTTTGGCTGTCGGAGCTGCTATCATGGGATGTTTTGCATTTTCCAAGGATCTCGTTATGTTTCTCGAATCTCCAGTTAGAGAACAAGGTGTTCGGTTTTTACAACTAGCTCCTGGCGAGTTTTTCTTTACAACTCTAAAGGTGTTATAACATACCTTATGCTCTATCTTTAATCTCTCTCCTTTCCATTCTTATCCACCATTACCAAGTAATGTTGGATTATTCACATATTGGGAAGTCTCGTGAAGTTCTGGTTACACGCAATATAAACTTAAAAAATCTTGAACAAAAGGCAGTATAGATCATCCTAAACTTGTAAGCTATTCAATTCAAAATATAACTTAGTTTTTCCTTATAGTATAACTATTACAAGCTGTAAAATAGTAATGTGTGATGTATGTGCATTAGTTACAAACAAATATCAGCGTCACAAAACTGGGTTTGTTATATGAAAATTTAACTGTATTTTACGTCAAGAATGGTCCATTATTTCTGAACTTAAAGTTTAAAACCCCAGTCCTTTATGAAGAATGTTTTTCTTACTATGATTTATCAAAAGAATTAAAAAAAATGTACCATTATTTTCTTATTCTACATAAATCAATCTATGCACATAGGATTCTGGACAAGGTTTGAAATAGTCATCCTTCTTTTCAGTGTTGATAAGGAACATTTACCGTATTTATCAATTGCCCCTTTTAAGCTGGTTGTAGCTTGTATTTTCTTCTTCATGGAAGGAGTTCTGGTGGTTAGGCTTTGTGATCTGAACTTTATAACCCAAAGACTTGTGTAACACAAAAAATTGACTCTTCGATTTAGTGTCTTCTCCGATGAAACCTCCCCAAAAATGGATAATTTAACCACCAAAATTCTATCTCTCATAGATGAGAAATAGTGTAAAAAGAAGTGCTTCGAATCATTACTATTTGACTCATAACTGTTCTAAAAAAGTCGATGTATTTCGAATTGTTTGTTGACACGGACAAAGTCTGGGAAAATTATTTCCATATTGAATATTGGACATATAATAGTTTTGAATCGTATCTCTCTAGAAAGAAGATCTTTTGTCTCATGGTAGCTAATAATAGTTTCACATTCGATGCAGGTATCAGGATATTGTGGCCTTCTATTAGGAAGTCCTGTGATTTTTTATGAAATCATAGCCTTTGTTGTTCCTGGTTTAACGAAGGCAGAGAGAAGATTCCTGGGGCCTATTGTCTTTGGGTCGTCGATACTTTTTTATGCTGGCATCATATTTTCTTACTATGTTCTGACTCCTGCAGCCTTGACATTCTTTGTCAGTTATGCTGAAGGGGTAGTTGAGTCATTGTGGTCTATTGATCAGTACTTTGAGTTTGTCCTTGTGCTCATGTTTAGCACTGGATTATCTTTCCAGGTAAAGTTTGTTCTTTACATGTTTTACCTTTCCACATGGATAACTTGTCTATTCTATTTATGAACCGATCTTCTTTCCTTCTGTCAGAAAAATATAGTTTAATAATATTATCCATTTCCTAGTGGATGAGGTTTAGGTAGAAGTAATAGGGTGAATGCGAATTAACAAATCCNTTGCACACCTTTAGTGTAAGTTTGTTAAACCTGTGTTGCGTGATTACTTAGCCCCTATTTGATTTGGATAAAGATTAGATTTTTGTTAGATTTTGATAAAAGTTGATGAAATATGTGGTTGAAACGATGATAAAAGTTGTGGGCCCTATTTAATGTTTGGTTGAAAACGAAATTGGAAAAAATGAGTTTTATGAAATGGGGGTCAAACAGGGACTTAATTCATTTTTGTGGAATGACTTTTCTAGCCAGTCATTAATTTTCCGCTGTTAGCTTTTGCATTGATGAAACTGTAACAAGTTGATAAAGAATAGATGTATTGAATTAATAACATTAAGTCAATTGAGCAATCGACATGTTTCAAGAGTGACGGGGTGGAGTTAATAGGTTATTTCTTAGCCCAGCAGAATTAAAAAAACCACAAGATAGGGTGGGTAGGTGGGTGTGTTTAAATTGAAGCTACTTACGAAAACTAAGAAGGCTATGATTATTGCATTCAAAAGACTGATGGTTCTTTTGCATCAAAAAACTCACACTCAATTGGATCAAGTCATAAGCTACGCCATCAAATATTATGCTACTATGGGGAGACTAGGCTTTATTTCACAGATTGGACTCTCGAACTTTGATAATCTCTTCCTAGTAAGAAACTGTTCCACATCCAGGTTCCCCCTGGATCCAAGTGTTCTTAGTTGGGCCTGAATGGCTGAATGAAGAAGCTTGCCCAGGAAGTTGCTTGTGATGGAGTCTTCTTGTGCACGGTACTTTTCTTAATTGCTATTGCGTAAACTAATGGGAAAAAACTTGAATGTTAAATTGGTAATTTGAAGCATGAATTTGTGGGTGTATGGTCTTTCGTTATGACGAGGTTCTTAGTTACAAATGCTTGTCTATTACCACTGATTATGAAATAGCGTTTTCTGTCTTAAAAAGCTATTGTATTTGGACAGTGGAAAACATACATACACAAATTATTTGAATGGCTCCAATGGAGATTTAGACTACTTTTCAATGTGCTTTACAGATACCACATAAGTGACGTAGTAGAAAATTGCTTAAACAAATTGATTTCTTTTCAACAGGTTCCGGTTGTACAGCTTCTTTTGGGACAACTTGGTTTAGTGTCAGGAGACCAAATGTTGTCGATTTGGAGATACGTGGTAGTAGGGGCTGTAGTTGCAGCCGCTATACTCACACCATCAACAGATCCTCTTACACAAGTACTCTTAGCGGGCCCCCTTCTCGGTCTTTACTTGGGTGGTGCATGGTTGGTAAAGCTGACTGGCCGATGATTCATATTGAAATTCATATCGGCTAGTATAACAAATTTCCAATGTAAGATGCCACATGAACCCCTAGAAGTATGTAAAAAAGAAATATAAAGGGTATCATTTGCTTGTGTGTACAAGATTAACATATAACGGTCAGAGTGAATTCTAGTTAGTTGTCCTTACAGTTATTCTTCTGTGAAGTACTTTGGGCACTAAGGGGGCCACAATAATGGACGTTAATTTGTAAATCTTTTCTAGTATTCTCCAAACTCAGCTACACGTTGGTGGGCACTTTCTAGAGTAAGACCGAATTGAATCTAGGACAGGGTAAGTGTGCATGAATACCCGTGTCAAGAAAGTTGGAGATTCAATATTGACCTTTGGAGTCGAAGGTTTAATGACTAACTCGCCTTGTGAGTAAGCTACACATGGATAATTATTAGGTAAAAGAATTTTCAGGTTCTCTAAAGGATGTTCATGTGAGTTGTTTATTATTCGACGTATCATTATAGATCCTTGATGTCCAAGTCTATCATGTCGAAGTATAAAAAATTTTGAATCAATGAACTTTTGGTACATGATAATATTTTATTCAACCATTTTTATAAATGTATAATACATGTCGATGGAAGTGTGTGAAAATTTTCTTTTATCTGCTTTTGGTCAGATAGAAAAGAAGTTATGCAAATATATTCAACATTATTTTCTTGAATTGTCTTAATATGATATCCATTGTAGCGGATATCTTTAAAACTAAGCAATTTTTTTATTTGGATTTGCTAGAATAAAGTGCATCTTCAATGTATAATTTTGTATTCTTTGGTAAAATAATACCTCTTTCGGAGCTTTCAACGATATTCGATTTACATGATATCGTATTAACATATTTTCTATTAATGTTAAGTCCAAAAAATATTTTTTTTATTTTGAAAAATAGTATGTCTAGTTGCATTATCAATCAAGTAAGTATCTTGACAATTTATCATGAATCTATAAGAAAACGGATATATTTTAAAAAACTTGAATTTAAATTTAAAAGAGAACATAATTCAATATTATGAAATTA